TAGTATAGGGCTTTACAAACAAAAAGCAAGAAAGTTTACCATACTTCATGTTTTTTACCATGTTACTCTGTTTTATAGCTGTCATTTAAATCAGGAAGGAATAATTGAAACGTTTTAAATTATTTTCAAATGAGATCGCGCAAAGATAAAGATGAAGGTCATGCTGTGAAGTCGGTTCGAAAGTCTTTTCATAATTCCCCTTATTTCAATCAAGCAATCCTAGAAAATTCTACCGCTGTTAGTCAACATTTTTCAGTCTTTAACACTCTCCGTAGTGACCGACCGAGGCCAAGTTTAGTGCGATATTTTCCTCTTTCTGAACCAGGGCATGTTCCTCAGTGTAACTATGATAGCGTGCCGAATGTGTCTCATCTTCCAGCAGTAAATTAAAGGGTTCAGAGATGAATTCAAAAATACAAAAGTATAAGAGAAGAGGTACAAGCTCTTTGTAGTGTTACTTGTCACGGTTGGGTCAGCGACTGCCAAAAACAGCAAGTAAGGCAGATGGCAAGCAACAAAAATGAGATACACGTAGAAAACGCCGACTGCAGACTTTAGGACGCTCACGGTGTTTGCTATCTCACCGCTGTGTTCCACCTGCTGTATCTGCATGGACTGAATCTCTTTCTTGTGGTATCTTACCGCCAAGTAAATTTTAACGTAAACTGTTGTTGTGACAAGGAAGAACGAAACCCACAAAATGATCAAAAATATCGAGTGCACTAGCGATGGAACCCAGAGGATCAAAGATGTGAGAAACACGCTTAGCAGCCATATTGAGATTACCACTGCGACAACACGCTTGTGAGTCACAAGTTCCTGGTATCTGAGATGAAGATGAATAGCTAAGAACCTGTCTACACTTACAGCCACGACACTCAGGAACGAAGCGATAGAAAACAAACCCAGTATGATTGCAAACATATTGAACGCGTTGCAGCTGGGGATCTCTTTCAGTAGGTTCTTGATCAAGAGTGAAGTGTAAAATGGTTGAACAAGACAACCAACTCCAATATCAGAAACGGCTAGACTCAAAAGCAATGTTTTCAGGCTCTTTGGCAACGATGAAGTTTTTCGAACCGCGCAGATGGTTACAATGTTAAACATGATGGTAAAATGCGACAATAAACTGTTTAAAATACTGTTTGAGATATATGTAAAACGGAGATCGTCAACTTCGGTAGTAATGGCGTAGCGATGCATTAAAACTTTACACGTCGAGTTTTGCGAGTCATTCATGATGTGCGGGAAAAAAGCTTTTTGACGAATAACTGAATGCGGATACTCCTTTCAGGGTTCAGAGCAGATGGAAACCACAAATTAACTGCAGGACTCACTCTGTGAAATATTCAGAACAGTATTCATTT